TATTTTAACATCGGGTTAAATGATAAATTTATTAGCAGAAAGTGTTGAAATATGTAAAATTTAATGTTAAAAATCTATAGTTTACAAGTCAAAGATGCGAAGGAAAACATTTGGTTTAGGAACAGAAGAAAATGAAAAATAAGTAGAGGTGATTTGTTTATTTGGGACAGAGTACGTGTGTACATTGGACGCGTGTAAAATAAATACGGCGCGTCGTGCATTGATTACACAACAGGAATAATATCATAACTAATTCACGGAATTCGCTAATTGCATCTGCTCCAGTTCAGTCCAGTCATCTGCCATCCCCGAACCTCCCGCATCATCCGCTTACTAGCCAAATCGGATGGAATTAATATTGGCAGTAATTTAAACAGCATTAATTATGAACGATATCCGTGTAACAACGGATCGAGTATTGGTGTTAGCAAAGAAGTTAATGATGATGTTGAATGAGGGTTTGCGAATGAGTCATCAAGGTATTGGGAAAGAGAGTCGAATGAGTAAGATGGTGAACGGAAATAGAGTGCGGTGGTCTCCGTGACTAACGCACCTATAGATACTTTTTCGAGTTGGAATTGATCCAGCTATTAAAAACCAACCTGTTCGGACGTTCCAAAAATACATAATTGAGGTAATGATCTAGTGTGGAGCACTGTGGCAACATTTTTGGCAATCCTAAATGAAGCCTCAGCGTCTGTCCGTTCGTCTCTTCCATCCACAATAACTTCCAGGTGACTAATCTTGTTTGACATTCCCCTTGGCAGCAGCCAATATTTTTTCCCATCGGCTATTCGTTATTCTTTCTAACAGACTTTTTCAACCTTTCCTTTCATCTCTCTCCCTCACCATTCCATCCACATTCACGGTAAATCACCGCGTATTTTTAAAAGCAACAGGAGAAAAAAAAAACGCAAACCTCACGCAGATAAATCTTTCTTCTTTCTTCCTCACCGAAGCTAAACTAACAACAGGTATATTATACTGATTCGACGACGTTTATTTTCGTACCGCGCATAAATTTGTTACTCTAAATTTACGCGCGTTTCCCAATCGAAATTAATAATATAACTATAACAAACAAAAAAATCTGCTGCTTCGATAATTCTTGCCTCAACTTTCCTCCTCTTTTTTTTTCCAGCTGTTTGTTTCATTCCCTTTTCGTCGGCAATTTGCGGCGAACGAAAATAAACTTGATTTATGCCCAATAAAACGGATTTCCACCTCAATTGCGAACACTGTTACAAAATACGTTTTTGCGTCATTAATAATATCATATTTCGTGCTCGATAAACTTTCCCCCGATTTTTCTCTGCTTAACAAAAAATAACAACAAAACGAAATAGTAAATCACTGCAGCTGCGTTTCTCTTTCTCGATGACGATAAAGCAAAAAATTTGATCGGATTTGGGTCATAACGAGTGAAAAATAAATGGTAAATACGAAATTCTTCAACTCTATTTAATTGACAGTAAAAACAAAGAATTGGGTCATTAAAATAAATATTCGCGATGAATCATCTTTTAACTAAATTAGCTATTTTCTCTGCTTTATATAACAATTAAGAATTGGGATATTTCAATAAATGCCGTTTATTTTATAATGGAACAATGAAAATTCTCAAATGTTTCTTTACAGAACAATAAAATTGAAAATTGGGTCATTTCAATAAATATTCCAGATGAATCATCTTTTAACTAAATTAGCTATTTTCTCTGCTTTATATAACAATTAAGAATTGGGACATTTCAATAACTGCGCTTTTTTTTATAATGGAACAATGAAAATTCTTAAATTTTTCTTTACAGAACAACAAAATTGAGAATTGGGTCATTTCAATAAATATTCCAAATGAATCATCTTTTAACTAAATTAGCTATTTTCTCTACTTTATATAACAATTAAGAATTGGGACATTTCAATAAGTGCGCTTTTTTTTATAATGGAACCATGAAAATTCTCAAATTTTTCTTTACAGAACAACAAAATTGAGAATTGGGTCATTTCAACAAATATTCCAGATGAATCATCTTTTAACTAAATTATCTATTTTCTCTGCTTTATATAACAATTAAGAATTGGGTCATTTCAAAAAATATTCGAGATGAATCAACTTTTAACTAAATTACCCATTTTCTCTGCTTTATATAACAATTAAGAATTGGGACATTTCAATAAATGCGCTTTTTTTTTTATAATGGAACAATTAAAATTCTCAAATTCTTCTTTACAGAACAATAAAATTGAAAATTGGGTCATTTCAATAAATATTCCAAATGAATCATCTTTTAACTAAATTAGCTATTTTCTCTACTTTATATAACAATTAAGAATTGGGACATTTGAATAAGTGCGCTTTTTTTATAATGGAACAATGAAAATTCTGAAATTTTTCTTTACATAACAACAAAATTGAGAATTGGGTCATTTCAATAAATACGTTTATTTCAAGATGAATCACCATCGTCTTTGAGCGAAATTTATATTTACTACAATGACTATTTCTATTATTGTTTATTATAAGCGTGCTTAAGTTTATATTTGGATTTTCATAAGCCGTGAAATATGCCCGCTGTGTCAACGTTGCAGGTTTTTGTATGCAAAACACAACATGTGTATCATTTATTATGCGTTGCAAAGTACGAGATTCCGCATTATTTTTAGATCAAATTAGCACGAAGCTTTCCATTCGAAATGATTCAGTTCTTCAATAAAATCCTTTTTTTTTTGTTGAAAGGTTGCAATAACGCAAAAAGTTTGCTATTAAATAATATTCTTTAGTTTTAAAGAAAAAATAAATGTACGTTAGTTTTCAAATTAGTTCTGAATAAGTTTAAAAAAATTGAGATGAAAAAGAAAAAATAGATATTTTTTTTTTTGAAATTTATGCGATCCGAATTTACGTGGATTACTTTAGGGCCGTTGCAGGGAGATGGGCGTACTGCGAAATAATAATCAAATGCGAAGTGTCGGAAGATGATTATGCAAGAAGTGATGAGCAAAGTTTTCATTACGGTGTAATCCTGGAGGTCGCATCTCCGCCGCCGTTCCACCTCTCCGAGCCGTGAGCATCCTACGAAGAGTTTTTAAGTCTTCTCTTTAGGCACCTTTTACGACGCTCTCTTTATATGCAGAAATAATCATCGCCACTTGACGAACAAAAAAAAACAACAGCTTTCACACAAAGTACATAATAATTGTATTATATCACTTTATAATTGATTTGTTTGTTTAATAATAACGTATTTATTTAATTTACAAATCAATCTATTTGTGTATTTACACTTTTGGCTTAACGCTATTAAAAGTATATATTTTTAATTAAGTTAAAATAAGTTTTTATAGTTTAATTTCAGACAAATTTTTCAACTTAAACTGTGTTCAAACAGTTTAAAAGAAGTTATTAACTTTTAATAGACTCTGTGATTGAGAGCAGACGAGAAGTAGGAAGTTGCAGTGTTTATTTGTTTGGTGTTTGTGTGGTAAAACGCGAGGAATCGGCAATTATAAATAAATAAATAAATATTGTCGGTGCATCAAAAGCGGTCACCGGAATTGCTTGTTTCTGCGCGAAAGAAGTTCACACACGAAAAAAGAGCATGCACAAATAAATACGTATCAAAAAATGTAGAGAGACATCAAAGAATCTAATTAGTTTTTATGGTATGAGGTTGAGGTAACTTTTTTTTTTAAATTGTGGATGATGATCACATGTTGTTAATGTTGTTCTTCTTCGTTCGGTTTGAAGGTTGCTGTTGTTGTTGTTGATGTAGTGGTTGTAGTAGGTTGAATGTTGGAGGTTGTTATTTTCTGTTCGGACGTGCAACGGACGGGCGGAAACCGGAAGTCGGGCAAGCCTTCCGGTCTTCTGCACGCGACCCACCGTCCGATGATTATGCACATCTTCGCGTGCGCCGCATGTAGGAATGGATGGGGAAAGGCAGAAGTCGCGGGGCGCAAGGAAGTTGTATACCGATACCGACCTGATATGACCCGTGTGCTTCTTGCTTTGCTTGCTAGAGCTGTGTGTATGGATATGACCATGGTTTTCATGTCTACCCTTATCTTCCATAACGAGCCTGAAAAGCCTGAAATATTATTATTCCGATATCTGGACATTATGCCCTACACGTGCATACATTTCCCTTTAATCTAGTCCGGACTTTTATTTCTCTTCTTTTTTTTAACTCTACAACTACTTTTCCTTCCACCCCTATCCTTTCCCAACGATCCTAGTTTACTGCTGAATTAATTGCCACACTAATCCGTCTGTTCATCCTGTTTGCTTTAAAGATTAGCTTTACTCGCTGATAACTACAGATTTATATCGCAATGATACATTCTACACTCCGCATTTCATTTACATTTATTACCTTAAACAACTTCAAACTTTGTAATTGATAAAATTGTTTTTAGTCATTAAAAAGTCAATTAATTCATTCATTCATTTCCAAACAATTATTACTTATTCACATATTAATTACATAATTATTTATTATTTCAATTTCTTTCTATTTTTTTTTTAATTTTCTTATATTAAAGTAATTAATTAATAAATACCATGTTTATTATATTGAATTTCTTAATAAAAAAAATCTATATTTTCAGCTAAGAATTTTGAAAAATTGACAAATTTTCAGTCGATAAAATAATTGAAAGGTAATAAATAATTCCTATAAACAGATAAATTTTATCAAGAAAAGTAAAATTTATCTTTTTAACAACTTGATGAAATTTGGGTTTATTTGAAAATCAGCGTTAAGCTAGCTAATTAAGTATTTAGAAATGAGCCATTCGTTTTGAAAGTGACTTAAGTCCATTTATCTTTAATTTGAAATACTTAAGGTTTTGCGTTTTTACAAAATTAAAAATATACGTAAGATATATGGTTGACTTGCAATTTTAAATCGCATTTAAGGGATTTAATTATTAAGTGTATAATATGACCTTGCTTACCTTAAAAGGACTTAGGTCACTTTCAAAATAAAAAATTGTTTTGTTACAAAAAGTAAAAGAGCTTAAGTCCGTTACATATAGCTTAAAAAATAGAAAAAAAACATTTAAATTATATTTTTAGATAATAGAAATAAATTTAGTAACAAGTTAACTCGTTAACATTCTCAGTATGCGGGAGTGATTTGAAGTAGTTATGGTGTTCCGGAGGTATATACCGCAATAAGTCCATCATGTGTCGGTATTTTAGTGATGTGATGTTTCTTATACTTTTATATAACGATGGCAATACAATATTCCCAAATATTGCCCCAAATTCCGTTTAATTTTATGAATTTTCTGAATATAAGTACCACTTCTGTGTTCTCTGAATCCTTCATTGAAGGTGCTGTTTTTTAAATTCTCATTCTCAATTACTTCCTCTGTTGAAGAATAAACTTCTAAAATTCTCCTTCTTTTTTTAAATCTGTTGTATGACTTTAATTCCTCTTCACTTTCAGAATCAAGAAATCTTGTTATTTTATCCTTTCCCATGGGATTAATAATTTCTTTAAATTAAATATTATTTTTTAAATTTCAATTTAATATCAAAACGTAATTTAAATTACCTTCATCACAGCTTTCAACATTTTGGGCCGCACTTTTTGACATCGTCAATAAAAAGTGGACTTAGGTCACTTTCAAAATTAGGATTTTCAGTATTTATATTATTTTTAAAATGTAGGTGATATAAAATTTTCAAATGTACTAAGTATATTTCAATACCGATTTATTTTTTTTA